GCATTAGATGTAGCATTGGTTTCTCTAGAACTAGAAACACTCATAAATGAGAGTACCAACTAACTTTTTAAATGAGCTCTTAATCCATTCTGTCTGAGCATTATTGATATTGTGTAGTGCCATTTTTTAATCAGGATATCATCAGTTATTAAGTCAAATGTTTTACAAAAGTCTAAGTATGTTAATTGTACGCAGTTACCTTTATTAATTAAGTTTGCAAACACAGATTAGCACTTTAAGTGACATTTGCACTCATTTCGGGTTTCTGGAAATTCCCCTTTATTCCTAATTTATTAAATATAGAGATAGGGATTATTCCAAACTTATTAAATCTTGTACTTAGAGCCTCAATCAAGATTAAATCTTATTACATTTATTATTCCAAATTTATTAAATATAGAGATTTCCCCATCCCGTTGTTTAGGGCAATTGGTATTTTGCACAAATGAAAATTGACTATAATGTTAGAGCACCTCACAAATAATAATCCATCTAGACAACTCAATTTTTTATCCTCATTTTACAGCCAAGGAGCAGAAGCACTAGGAAAATAATTGCACTAGCAAATGTCATGTAAGAAGTCTGTGGCAGAGCTAAAAATTGAACCACTTTCTCCTCAATTCTAATTCAGAGCCTTAACTGGAAGGCTTATCTTTGTCCTGCCTGATTTCTGTATCTGTGGTTAAGTTACAGCCTAGGTGAACCATATACATTAAAGTTGTTAAACTGTCTTAAGTTTTAGCAATTGTAAAGCACGCCAGCAGCAGCTGTTGTTATTTTTTTGTTTACTTCTCACAAGTAAGACATTTGTATTGTTCATCCAAAAATATAGGGCAACTTTGGCTTCCTTATGCATAGCTTTTAGTCATAGGCTAAAACCCAGTGGGATTGCACATCCAAATAAGTAATTTTACCTGGAACTTGTTTCCTGTCTTAGAACACTGCTAACCTATTATTTTTTACTGGTAAATGTAATATAAACATTTTGTTATGTATTACTTGTATCTCAGTATGGTGTACTTGGAGCCTCAGTCAAGATTAGGTCCTGACTATACTAAGCACTGTACACACATATAGTAAATTCTTAAGAGCTTATAGACAAGATTGGAAAGGATGGCACATAGAAGTAACTTATAGGTTGTGATTGGTCACGCTAAGTGTATAGGTGTACCTGAACTGATATTTGGGGATGACCTCAAGGTTGTCCTTACCCAGTCCAAGCCACGTGATCTGTCCTTTGCTCTTTTGAATCGTATCTTGTAACCTCCTCAAATTCATCCACAATATGCTTCTTATGTCTCAAATGTGGCACTAAAATATATCCCAGGTTCCCTTTTAGGAAGGGTTTGCTTGTCTCTCCTTCCAGGTTTGTCTCTATTCATGGGAAGTAAAGAAAGGAAAGGGGTGAAGACAGGCTATAAGGCAGGAATAGGGAATTGAGAGGTTGCTACTAGCAGTTTTACTCTACTCATGGCCTGCAAAAACACACTGGGAACATATTCAACACACTGACAGGAACTGGGAGGTGAGTGGTGGCAGAATTGATTTCATACTTCGACCTCCCAAATTAATTCTGGACTGCCATAAGGTCTCAAGTGTAAGGTTATATAGTATAGAAGTTTGGTGGGATGGGCTTAAGGAGCACATTAAAGTCAACCCTTTTAATGTAGACATAGCTTAAGTCTCCTTAGTTCTAGTTCATCACAGAGAAGGAAGGAAGGGAGGGGGTGTGGCGCTCTATGTCAAAGAGCAATACACATACTCTACCAGCAAAATGGGGTCAGAGGAGGGGCAAGCAGAAATGCTCTGGGTCAAGATACAAAGGGGTCATGGGGAGAGGGATTTAACGGTGGGGGTCTACTACAGACCCCCCAACCAGGAGGAGGAGCTGGACCGGGAATTTTCGGGCCAGCTTGCAGAGACACTTAAGGCAAGGGATGTAGTTATCATGGGTGATCTAAATTACCCAGACATCTGCTGGGAGGAGCAGTCAGCCAGGTCGGATCATTCCAGGAGGTTCCTGACCAAGATACAGGACCTCCACTTAACCCAGGAGGTGCAGTCCCACCAGAGGAAATGCCCTGTTGGGCCTGGTCCTAGCCACAGGCGATGATCTGGTAAGGGGGCTCCAGGTCCTTGACCACCTGGGTGATAGCGATCATCACTTGCTGGAATTCATCATCCAGCACAGGGTGACAAGGGCCTGCAGCAAGGCAGTAGCCCTAGATTTCAAGAGGGCCAACTTCAACGAGTTGAGGAGATTGGTGGGAGAGGCACTGGGGTTCTCGAGGGTAGGGGAACTCAGTGCCCAAGATGAGTGGTCATTTCTTAAGGAGACAATACTCAGGGCCCAAGGGGTGACGATCCCAACAAGAAGCAAGGGGGGCAAGAGTGCCCAAAAGCCCCCCTGGCTCACCAAGGATGTCCGGGAATGCCTGGTTGCCAAAAAGGCAGTGTACACCTGGTGGAGGGCGGGGGGGGGCGGGCTATCTCCAAAGAGGAGTATACCTCCACCGCTCGGGCCTGTAGTGGGGCTGTTAGGAAAGCTAAGGCGGACATGGAACTAGGACTAGTGCCAAGATCAAAGATAATAAAAAGTCCTTTTTCAAATATATAGGGAGGATGAAGAAGGCACTGGGAAACGTGGGGCCCCTGCAAGATACGCTGGGCAATCTGGTGGCTGCGCCAGAGGAGAAGGCAGACCTCTTTAACAAATTCTTCACCTCCATTTTCTTGTGCAGGGACCAGGACTCCCCCACCGTGATTCAAGACGGACTTGAGGGGAACGCCTCCAGACCTAAGGTTGAGGAGGACCGGGTTAGAGTGATTCTGGAGGGGCTGGACGTGTTCAAATCAGCAGGTCCAGATGCTCTCCACCCCAGGGTGTTGAGGGAG